AAACCTGTCACTCTGAGCAGCATCTTTTCAATGCATTCTGTTTTAATGTATATGTCATACAGAAAGGTTTTTATATATGCAATTGTGGTCTCTGGATGCAACATATACACTTTACTCTTAAGTCTGCAGGATTCTCCAAGCTGCCTGTTATATATTAACAGCTTACGATTCAAAGTCTTCAAACCTGTCACTCTGAGCAGCATCTTTTCAATGCATTCTGTTTTAATGTATATGTCATACAGAAAGGTTTTTATACATGCAATTGTGATCTCTGGATGCAGCATATACACTTTACTCTTAAGTCTGCAGGCTTCTCCAAGCTGCCTGTTATATATTAACAGCTTACGATTCAAAGTCTTCAAACCTGTCACTCTGAGCAGCATCTTTTCAATGCATTCTGTTTTAATGTATATGTCATACAGAAAGGTTTTTATACATGCAATTGTGATCTCTGGATGCAGCATATACACTTTACTCTTAAGTCTGCAGGCTTCTCCAAGCTGCCTGTTATATATTAACAGCTTACGATTCAAAGTCTTCAAACCTGTCACTCTGAGCAGCATCTTTTCAATGCATTCTGTTTTAATGTATATGTCATACAGAAAGGTTTTTATACATGCAATTGTGATCTCTGGATGCAGCATATACACTTTACTCTTAAGTCTGCAGGCTTCTCCAAGCTGCCTGTTATATATTAACAGCTTACAATTCAAAGTCTTCAAACCTGTCACTCTGAGCATTCTGTTTTAATGTACATGTCATACAGGAAGGTTTTTATGTATGCAATTCCATATATAAATGGAATTAAGACATTTTAGGGTGGCATCTATCATTCTGCTCTCCCCAAAACTGTGTTGGATAAGCATGACTAAATCAGAACGTTCGCCGGGAAGCTGCTTTGGCATCGCGGATCAAAGGCGCGGAGGGAGGGCGCGGGTTCGATTCTGCCTGTGCCAATCATCTGTTCTTTTTTGGGGGAGGGGGCAAACCGGGCGTAGGTTTTCTCAGGTGGCGCTGCTGAGCTTCCTGGTGCCGCCGAAATTTGAAGCCACTCGGAACAGCCTCTTTGGAGGAAGCAGCGACCCGGCTAGCCCTCTTTTCCCCTGAAAGGATTTCCCCCGTTTGTGGCCATGACTCATCTCACCATTCAAACTCTTCGCGAGGTGATGAAAGCTATGTTGGAGTCGCCCTGCTTCGATCGGGTGGCGAATAAGGTAACGAGGTGTTAGTTCCGTACGCTGATTTTTTTTTCCCGGGATGACCTTGAACGGTTTGCAGCCACCGCTGCAAATCGCGGCCTGCTGCATATTTTTTCCAAGGTCGTTGGGAGTATCTCGAGAGAGCCGCGTTGATTTTCTGTGCTAGCTAAAAATCAGGAGGCTGGTAAAGCGCGTTTCAGACTGACACGTTTTATTAAAAAAGGCATTTTTAAGCGTCTGTAAACTGGAACTGGCTTCTTCAGACACAGTAAAGTCGGCTGGGCTGATAAAGAATTTAAATTCAGACGGGAGGGCGAGGGGAAAACAGAAGGGTCACCCAGATGACCAGTGACACAGCTTACAAATACCTTAACCCAGTGGTCTCCAACCTTGGCAACTTTAAGACCTGTGGACTTCAACTCCCAGAGTTCCTCAGCCAGCTTTGCTTTGCTGGCTGAGGAACTCTGGGAGTTGAAGTCCGCAGGTCTTAAAGTTGCCAAGGTTGGAGACCACTGCCTTATTAGCCAATAACAATTATGATGTGTTAAAAGCCACTGGGTCCGCTGAGACCTTCTGAGCTAGGGCGAAATGTTTAAAATGACAATTTTATGAAATATTACAATTAAGATGGCAAAGCAATGCAAACGGAAAACATAGAAGGTGGGGAAAAAAATAGAAAAAAATATTTCTTTTGTCTTTATTTTATTTTTTTCCTTTTCTTTTCTTTTTCCACGGGGACATTATGGAACTAGATTTCTGTTTCTCTTCTCCACCCAGGTGAAGGTTGTCTCTGCAAACCCTGGGAAAGTGGTCTGTGAAATGAAAGTTGAAGAGCAGCACACAAACAGAGGAGGGACTCTCCATGGGGGCCTGACAGCGACTTTAGTAGACATTGTGTCAACAGCTGCATTATTGTACACGGAAAGAGGAGCGCCTGGTGTTAGTGTGGACATGAATATTACGTGGGTATCAAAATTGGTCAAGTTTATTCCCATGCTTGTTTGTTTTTATTTGAGCCTTCATTTTCTGCACTGAATAGGGCAAATCCAACTTGTGTTAATTCCAAGAAAGCATCAGGCCAGTCCAATGCTGAGATACTACAAGCTGTGTACATTTCTAAAACTTAACTGCTTAAATACTTTTTGGAAAACTAGACTTCTGTATCCAGATTCTTCAGAAGTTCTAAAAGGTAGTGAAACATTCATGCTTTTATTTTGAAGAACCTGAGCCATTATTTTAGCTTTATTTTGTATTGTACTATTACTATGTAAGAAGTGAAACAAGAACTGATAGCAGAGACATCTGCCTTATATCAGTCAGAGATTATTGTACTGTCTAAATCACTATTCCATATTTACATATAGTAGCATTGCAAGTTCAGGTAGAACCTTTTCCCGATCATATTGGAGATTGGATGAGGTGAGTGGTGTGGTGGCCTAGAGGTGGGCCTCTTGCCTCACAACCAGGAGGCTATGAGTTCAATTCTAGGTAGAGCAGAGATTTCTCGCTCTGGGTGCAAAGGGAAAATTATCTGCTGTGAGCTCCACGTAGGCGTCAGGAAGGGCATCCAGCCAGTAAACGCTCAGCTCTGTTCAGTCACCCTGACTCCACCCCGATGCAAGGGATTACAGGGTTGTTAAAAGAAAAAAAATGGGAGATTGGACAGAACGCGGAGGTGCGAAGAGGCAGGCAGGTGATTCGAAAAGGGGTCTTGAACATTCGGTGAATGGAACGTTCGCCAGGAAGCTGCTTTGGCACCGCGGATCAAAGGCACAGAGGGAGAGGGCGGGTTGTGATCTCTGGATGCAACATATACACTTTACTCTTAAGTCTGCAGGCTTCTCCAAGCTCCAATTAACAGCTTATGATTCAAAGTCTTCAAACCTGTCACTCTGAGCAACATCTTTTCAATGCATTCTGTTTTAATGTACATGTCATACAGAAAGGTTTTTATATATGCAATTCCATATATAAATGGAATTAAGAAATTTAGGGTAGCATCTATCATTCTGCTCTCCCCAAAACTGTGTTGGATAAGCATGATTAAAAATGATGGATTGGGTCCCTCTCTGAATATCTTGGCTAAGCAGCTACAAAAGATATCCAACAATTTATTCAGAAGTCCTTTTTGGCTTTTATTAAACAATCAAAAAGTTGCTTAGACAGGAAGTTCAGTCTCTTTCTTCTATTGATCTGCCTCAGAATGTCTCGAGGACAGCTGTATGGATGGAGGGAAGAAAGACCATAGTACACAATGCCTTCCACTGTACATATAAGAAATATTTTTTCCCTTTCTTCCGTATTCTAGGTACATGTCATCGGCTAAGATTGGAGAAGAAATCCTGATCACTGCTGAGGTTCTGAAGCAAGGAAAATCACTGGGTTTTGCCAACGTGAATTTAACAGATAAGATCACAGGAAGATTGATAGCTCAAGGGAGGCACACCAAGCATTTGGGATACCAGCCATAAAAAATAAGATAATATCCTGAGAAGAATGCAGGATGGAGGAGTGTACCACAGCCAATTTCAAAAATTGAAGTGCAGCCATTGGGTAATGAAATAATATTGCAATGTTGAAATCTGTTGTTTAAGTTGAATTGTTGGCCCAAGATCAGATTTGTTGGGGTACAAATGTACACAAGTGCCTGTACATGTATTTATATCTATGTACAAACATGTTTAGGGTGGATGGATAAGGTCTGACTTTTATTTGTTAACAGAACATACCTGTAATAAATTGTTTCGCCTGCTAGGAAAAATAGTACAGTGGAGTTAATATTAAGTGTGAACCTTGAAGCACTGAAGAAAAGATCAGAGAAAACAGAAGGTTTTTCTCCTGAAACTCAAAGTTCCTTTTGAGTTTCAGCTGTGGGAGGGACAGATGATGACAGCTCCTAAGCCGCTCTTTCTCAACTTCAGCAACTTTTAAGCTTGGCTGGCTGGGGAATTGTAGGAGTTGAAGTCCACACAGCTGCAGGTTGCTGAGCTTGGGAAACATTGTTCTAAGCACTGGATTGAATCAAGAAGAGAAGCTGTTTTTCCCAGATGTAATTCTTCCCCTGCAGCTCTGGGTGGAACAACACACTCAGGGAATCTTTGGGAAGAGCATAAAAAGCAATGCTAGGAGCTACAAGGAGGGTTTTCAAAAAAGTAATGTGGGATTCAACCCATTATGTTTGCAGGAGCTCCAGCTGCCTTTTGTATTGTGCCTTTAAGCCACAGGGTTCACCTGAACGGTTTTTTTTTAAATCCAGTGATGAATTTAATGCCCACCTAATAAAACAAGGTGAAAGTCCAAAGTCTTTTACATGGCAGTATTCTTTCCAAAGGAATTTGTCTTGTTAAAAAGTATTGAGTGGATGCTGCTATTCAGTAACAGTTTGATTTAGAAAAATTTTAATTTCAGTGTAAAATCATTTCTGCTATGCCTACCACAACACCAGCAAGTAGATTTTATCTCTTGTTTTCCTACACTTTTTTTATTTAAAAACTATCCCAGAATCAGCTGCACTGAAGTTAGATGAGTTCAGAAAAAGTCTAAGTGGTGGAAGGAGAAAGCACAGGCTAGTGTATGAGTTACCTTGGGATAAGATGGGTGGCTAATAGATATAATATTACGTAATACTAATAATAGTAATTGTAATTGTAGTAATAATAATAATGGCTTGTCCCTTGTGATTTTGTGCCTGTGGGATTTCTGAGTGATCTGTTCTTTTGTGATGCTTGGCTCATTATATGTCAGACGTTGAATGGCTCTTTCCATTGCTCATGATCCCACAACTGTGATGATCTCTGGAAAGATTTCTAAAAGGAAGAAACCCCTTACATTGCTTGGCTTCTCTCTAGTGATTTTGCTTGAGTTCACTGTTTTATTGCAGCCAAGAGTGGCTATTCACTGCAGGTGGCAGAACTTAACAACCTTTGGCTTATCTTGAAAAAAAAGCTAAATAGAGTCAACTTATTAACTGGATGGTACAACACTGGGAAACCTCAAGGCTATAGGTCTGTGATGGTGAACCTAAAGCACGCATTCCAGGTGGCACACAGAGCCCTCTCTGTGGGCATGGAGCTATCGCCCCAGCTCAGCTCCACCACGTATGCGCGCGTGCCTCTCACCGTGCAGCTGATTTTTGGGTCTCTGCCACATATGCGGAAGACGCACGTGCATGTGTGGGGGTAGGAGGTGACCCCATGGGGCATTGTTGGTCCCAGGAGGCTTCAGGGAGGCATGCAAGGCCCAAAATGGGGCATTGGGGGGTTGCATACACATGCACGGGGTATGTGTGTGTGTGGTTATCGCGGGCACATTGCATTATGGATGTGATCCCGCACATACATGCTGTCACGGACGTACACCTGCCTTCGGCACATGAAAAGTAATTTTAAAAATGTAAACATAACAATAGCAAAACAAGGAAAAGAAACAAGGAAAATACAATGATATGAATTTAAAAAGATAGGTGGTAGGAAGCAGGAAGCAGCGGTTTGAGGGGGAGTGGGCAGCTAATTAGTCCAGTAGCCACCTCCATAGGGTACTCTCTTATTGGGTCATGTCTTTAGGTCCTTCGAGCGCCCAACTCTCCTACATTCTGACGCATCCCAAGACTTCTTCATTGGTTGTGAATATGCTTGATTCAAAGATAAATGTGCCTCTTGTGGTTTTCAGCAAATTCCAGTGTTTGCCTATTGCACTTTTAGACTTTTAGTGCCTCTCCATTTTCCAACAGCAGCAGCATCATTACAGCTTATTCAGAGATTTGATGCCTGCCTTAGTGAAGTCTACCCGGATTGGATAGACGGTGACTGTAATAGATCTGGATGGAATGAAAACAGAGGTGGGTTGCTCCTGGTTCGGCCTGGATCAGGTGAACCGGTAGTAGCGGCGGTGGGAGGCTCCACCCACCTGCCTGGATGCTTCTGCAGAATTGTCGCGCTTAAGTGCATGCGTTCACGAGTGAACCAGTAGTAAAAAAATTAGAAACCCACCACTGAATGAAAGAATATTATTCTACAACCCAAACATCAGGAACCTTATAGTACATTTTTAGACTATCAAACTTTATTAAAAGGCATTAGCTTTTGTGAGCTACAGCTCAGATTGGCCTGAAAAAGTACCACCACCTTGCTGATATATATTTTTATTGCCATTGACTAACACAACTCTTCTACAATATTCTACAACAATCATCTGTCCTTACACTGCAACTTTTTGACCTAGTTTGTGCAAAGTGTTTATAAAGCCATAGAGTAAAATAGCAGGGGATGAAATAGCTCCTTAGTGCTCCCTACAGCGAAGCTATCATGCTTGTTAAACATCTTCTGGAACTGGAATTGCCTGAGTGGGCTGTTTTCAATTTAAACAACTACTTGATTGCTTCCAGTTTTGACTTCTGTGGTTATTCCCCGTCTTCATTCTGAGCAGGAGGGGAAACAATACAAGAGATCCTATGTGGAAGCCAATCAAGTTGTTAAAATGAAGGCAGCATGTCGAACAACAAAGGGAACGGAATTGCACAAAGGTAGAAAATAACTGGTTGGGGAAGCATCATTACAAAGATGGAATATGTAAAAATCCCAAAGTTGAAACAAATGCATTGTGTCTGAATGGGCATTGATAGCAGACAAGATAGCCCCCTTCAAATCTTTTCCAAGGAGTCTACCCTTTGGAGTAGATTTGGAGTTACAGGAGAAAGGACATTTAAAGTCCATACTCCGTATTCGGCCAGCATAACATTGGCTCCTTTGCTCTTGGAGAAAGCGGGGAACCTAAACTATTTTTTCCCTCTTATGAAGACCAGTGATTAAAATAATGTATTTTTTAAAATATTTCTGTGCCAGAATTCCATTGTCTAATTAAGTTGTGGGGAGGTCCCTCGTAGCTAGATACTTTTCTCCTGTTTAACATCCGCATGATGATGTTGCCCATTCAACAGCAGAAGGTGAGGTACAAATAGCCCTCAACTTGCAACAATTCATTTAATGACCGTTCAAAGTTACAGTGGCACTGAAAAAGTCCCTTGTAGCCATTTTTCACAGTTACAACCTTTGTAGCCTCTGCATGATCATGCGATCAAAATTCAGATGCTTAGCAGCTGGTTCATACTTACGGGTTGCTGTGTCTCAAGGTCGTGAGATCACCTTGTGCAACCTCAATGGGGAAGCCAGATTCACTTAACAACTGGGTTGCAGCAGTGATTCACTTAATAACTGTGGCAAGAAAGGTCATAAAATGGTGCAAAACTTAACAAAACTTAACAAACATCTCACTTAACAGAAAGTTTCGACTCAGTTGTGGTCGTAAGTTGAGGACTACCTGTATATGACATCCAGCTTTACATCTCCACCCCAGCTGGACCAGCTGAGTGCTGTCTCAGTATCTGGAGGTGGTGAGAGTCTGAATGGACTTTAGGATTTCCTGTATCAGGTCATTTTCCATCTTCGGATCTAGACAGAGTAGCACTCCCTCAAACAGAACCACTGTGGAATTTTGGGGTTTAACTTATGGGCTCCTGTTTAAAGAGCCAGTAACAATTATGGATGGAAGTCATTTTACACACCTTTGTTACATGTGCCAGTTGCACCTTTTCCTCAATTAGGTGACTTATTCATATCCTGGTAATGTCCCAAATGGATTCCTGTAATGAGCTCTACATGGGGCTGTTCTTGAAGAACATCCAGAACCTGTAGCTGGTCCAGAATGCAACAAAACAGCTGCACTTTGGAGCCTCCCCCCCCCCAATGTTAATACCTCAGTTGTCCAAGTCCCACTGGCTCCTAGGGTGCTTTCAGATGCAATTTGGGTTGCTGCTGATCACCTACAAAGACACCCATGCTTTGGGGACTGGATTATTTGAAGGACCACCTCTCTGACCGTATCTCCTTGGCTGTGCAGGTTGAAACAGCAGGCACACTGCAGGTCCCATTGATTGAAAAACGTCATTTATGCAATCAGAAAATTGGCTTTTTGGGTTGCAGCACCTGCTTTGGGACACCATACCTATTCCACCAGTTCCAAAGTTAGATTGAGTCCAAACTTACCAGCTTTTCAGAAGGATTTGAAGAAATGGATGGAGATTGGATGTTTTCTAGGAACCTATATGGTGGGGGTTGTGATTTACCGTAGATTGGTTTTTATGAGCTGTGGTGGGCCAGTGGTTAGAATGCAGTACTGCAGATTACTTCTGCTGATTGCCGGCTGCCAGCAGTTCGATCCTGACCGGCTCACGTTTGACTCAGCCTTCCATCCTTCTGAGGTTGGTAAAATGACACAGGTGTAATATGCTGATTCTGTACACAGCTTAGAGAGGACTATAGAGCACTGTGAAGCGGTATGTAAGTCTAAATGCCATTACATTTTTCTAGGTTTAATAAGCTGTCATGTTATATGTTGTTGGCCACCTAATCACACCAGATGAGTAGCTGTACAGATAGTCGAGTGATGACCCCTAATGGAACCTACACATGGTTGTCAGTAGTATTGGTAGTAAAATGGGTCTCTTGCATGACTGACCCCATTTTGCAACCTTTTTTACAGTGGTCATTAAGGAAATGCTTTGATAGTAAAACAAATGTCAGTCATTAAATATTAAGCAAATCCACTGTTCTCTATAGTTGGCTTCGGCAAAACCATTGTAAAACATGTTAATGTGACTACAGGGAATTGTAAATGGCCACAAATGCAACCATGTTGCCAATTGCCCAAAGTACAGTTAGATGGCTGCAGGGGAGGTAACTGTCATAACTTCAGGGCCAAGTTGGAAGTCCCTTTTTTTGGGGTGTCGTAACTTAGAATGGTTGGTAAGCGACCAGTCATAAAGCAAGGACCACTTATACAAATCAAATAAATAATTACATTGAATTTTTCATGTATGTTAGGGTTAAAGACTTCTTCAAATGTTAAAGTATGTATATTTATGTCACACATTTACAAAAAGTGTAGATGCCCTTAAGTTCTATATGTTTAGGAATAAGATCAAACCGACAACCTTTTATACAAGTATTGCATGGACTTAATTGGTTCAAGCTAATTTGTAACAGAAAAAGTAATGTGAGAACATTCTATAACATCAAGCATGTTATCCTAATTTTTAATTTACGTTTCTGTATCCTTAAAAAAACCCTTAAATTTTATTATGTATTCTACATAAATTTCTCTTCCTTCATAATGTAAAACAAACCAAATTAATGAATGCAGAGTGCCATAATACCAACTACAATTCTTAAGATTCCAGAGATGGTTTCAAGACCAACAAAGAATCTTTATTGCTACAGAGCATAAAAAACCCAAACGGAGGAAGTTATGAACTGCGCTAAGGACTCTGCTAGGACTGAATTTTAAGAATAAATTTAGCAATTGCTACGAGTAGGTACTGAAGAGAATTTCAATTTAATGAGCTATTGAGACAGGATCTTAATTTTCCTGTATGGTTCACACTTTACATGTATTTCAATGGGTTCAAGGATAATAGGGTCTGTTTTTTTTTAAGTGTTCATGTTATGGCTACTCCCATTCCTTTTAAATATTCAATGTTATTCATGTCATGTATTCTGTTATATGTGGGGTCTCTGTAAATCAATAGTTAATACTATTTCATCTGGCTGATTTTGAAGATACAATTTTTTCCCATCAAGTTAGGAGCAGGGAGAATGTCATTTCTGTTAACCCTTTTCAGTAAAATCCTGTAAAACAACATTATATGTACTTTATCATAATGAAGTAAATATAAAAATGTTTCCCTTTGCATAATCCTTTTAATAAATTGCTATTTTAATTAGCAAGTAATCCTGAGTTGAATAGAAAAAAAGATTAAAAATAGATACTGTTCCCAAGAAATGCCAGTTTCCTGGTTTAGCATCCTCTTCACACACATTTACACATATGCATATATAGCATATTCTCCTCCAAATGTATATTAATAATTATCACTAGATAATTAGGTTGAACTAATTACAAAGTGACTGTCCAAATGAGCCAGTGAGATTCACTGAATCTGTATTGGTCCAATTCCAATTCAACATTCTAGAATTACATTACGTTCTCAGTTAATACTGTCATGGATTGTTTTGCGGTATTAATTTAGTGCCTGCATACCTTACAACTAGCATGGACTTCATAACTTAATAGAGCAGATAAATGTTCAACTAATTTGTTTATTTTCATTTGTTCCAATTCCAAACAAAAGCTAAATACAAATTTTAAACAGATAAGCACTAGATTTACCCAAAGGGAGTTGGCTTATACAGATTTACTTCAGTAAAATTATTCAACCCATAAGCAAAGTGTTCTTTGCCAAAACTATACAGTAGTCTTTCTTATGTTCATTGCACAATCTTAAACAAAATATGTTCTGTCAAAACCAACTTTGACACTCCAAACAATATTTTACAATTAAATCCACAAATGCTTTTGATCTTATTCCTCCCCCAACCCCACCCCACCCCACCGAACCTCAGAGGGTTTTCCATGTCAGAAATGTTTTGGAAACCAGTATTTCCTACTCAGTTCACCAGCCATTTTACAAGTCAACTCTCAGGGGGAAAAAAGCAATCCTCTGCCAACATTGTTTCTGCAGCTGCTATTTTTAATGTAGCTGCTTTAGGCTACTTCAGACCCCAGGTCTGTAAAATGTACTCAACTTAACAGAACACTCTACATTTAGTTATACAGCAAACTGGGGAAAGAGATCCAAAAAATGAGAATGCTAGTAAACTCAAACATGGCCAAGTAAAATATGAGAGGCAATTAATGCCTACAATGAATGAGATGCTTTTCTTCCTTAAACGATTTCTTTCCCATAGTAAGCCATCTACTGTAGCAAGCCAGAGAACTTATCATCAGAATGAGTCTGACACAGCTCTGATACAATCATGTTAAAAGCAACGCTTAGAAGGCTTTTACACCCTTACATTCACTTTTCACCCTATGAATACTGAAACAGGGGACATGACCAGCACAAATGGACATACCACCATAAATGATCGCTTTGTGCTCTCAGATAACATTTCTTTCAGTGTGTAACAGTCCCTTCATTTCACATTTTGGTAAGATGCTCATGCAATGCAGAAATATGCAGAGCATTCTCTTTCATAAAGTCCATGCAGAAAACATCTTAAAAAAAAGTTCTGAGATACAAATGATAACAGAAAATAATCCAGGATGATCAAGGTTCACGATGGATAGTGTTCTGAGCATGTGTCCATTTTCTTCTATTCCGAAAGAATAAATGGCGAGGAAAGTGGAAACTACACTCCTGCAATCTGTGATTTTCCCCATTTTGCTGGCCAGAACCCTATTCTGGCATGTATGGGCGGAGGTGATCCTCTATAGTACCAACCGCCCAGTGGGTGAGTTGCTCCTGTGGCAGATACAGGCAGATGCTGCATAACTTGAAGATTGTTGCTTTGTTTTTTGGAGTCTGTAAAAAATAGATAATTTCAGAACCAAGGATAGGGGTTTCTTTATGCATGGGAAAAAAGCTTTAAATTTCTCCCAGTTTGTCTTTTCAGAAATATTTAGGAACTTGAAAGGAAGCATAGAGGAACAAAAACTAAAAATCTGTCACTTTATAATATATATTTTTTACTGGATATGCAACTTTATCAGATTTCTATACTTTACTTTTTCTCTCAGAGAAAATGCTTTTCCCAAGGCTAGATTAAGTTATACTTTAAAAGTTCAGTAAAGACTCAGTACTAGGGAAACAAAAAACACTATTGATGCACACAGACAGACATATATTTGCTTGTGTGCATCGAATCTATATTTTTCAATTCTATAATTTAAAAGGGTGCTGCCTGTTTGAATGTTCGTTACACTACCAAAACACACAAAAACAGCTAATCTGTTATACCTAATATTATGTTTAATGTGTGTTGTATACACCATATTATCCATCTAGATTCAATGTTCTGTCATGACAACTGCTAAATAATAAATGAAGCAACTATTGTATACTGGAAGAAGTTTACCTGCAAGTGCTGTCTGTCAATGAAAAGAAACACTGACTGGTTAGGGTTGTTGATAACAATTCCAGTCTTGTCCTTTCGGCTCAGTACATGCAGAAACTGTTTTTCATAGTCACCATGATGAAATTCAAACCTGGCCTATTCAAAATATTCAACGACAAAAAATATTTTAATTAAAAATTTAAAAAGCAGTCTTATAGATATTTTTTGAACTATTACATGCTCTCCGATACCCAGTAACTCTGGGTGGCCTACAACTGTAAAAAACAAACAAAAAACCACGACTTAAAAACAAACAAACCCATGGCAAGAGAAAAGAATTACAAAGAAATTAAACCCAGAGGGGAACAAAAAAGAAGAAAGGAACATGGGTCGCCTTCTAAGATCCACCAACTGAATTATGGGCAAATGAAATTATTTTTGAATCCAATAATACTAAATTCTGGAGTCTGAATTCTTTTGCCTCCCCTATTCCAATTTATAAGCTATTATTCTATATAAGTTTAACAAATTTAGCAATTGGGAAAACTATTTTTTTCTATTGTTAAATCATATTAGAACTTTTGGGTGTGAAATTACAGCTGTCAGTTCTTTAGCTCATACTGGCCTTCATATGCATCAGATTTTCCCCAAGTACCTAGGATGTCGTAATGTATTGGCATAGCATATGTGCAGATCCAAGCACTGTAGTCTTTTGTAATCCAGATGGAAAATTTGTCAATATGCATAGTTTCTAAGTGCTGTTCACTTTTTTTTTGGTATGGCACCCAGTGTGCCAATAACTACTGGGGCCCTCACAACCAATTTGTGCATTATTTGTTATACAGTGTTAATCAAAATAAAATAAGCTTATTGAACTAGGAGAGTGATTCGAAAAATAAAGCAATATTTTTAAAATGGCAGAATGCCTTATGACTTAAACCTTCAATATATCACAACTACCAATGTCATCCAGGTCCGTTTAAATGCATACTCATAATTACACATCTTGTGCTGTGATCAACACTAACTCAGCTAGACAACTACTGCTTTCTATCTATTTTGCATCACAAACCCCATAATAGCCAATTATTGTCCAGGCTTATTTGAGCACATGGAAGTCTTATTCAAAGTAACATTAAGGCACAAGATTGCAAATTGCAGCTTCAAAAATCCAAAAGTCGTATCTGATCAGCATTAAAAGGCAGTGGTTTTCATTGGAAATACCATCTGCTTACTTGAGTTGTATCTTCATATGTCATACCTGAACAGGCCTAAAGGGCTCATCATCTGATCCCTTCCATCTAGAAAACAGAAGACAGACTATCTTCTCAATATCATTCCGAGGCCAAAGTATGAAGTCCATCTCCTGCGTACAGCCAATCACATCCTGAAGAGATAAAAATTATTTTATAGTATCCAATATAGCATGCAAAGATGTATTAATCAGTAATAACAAATTGTACATGTAATTAATTTATACACATACAGTATTAAGATTTTTTTATTCTAAATAGTACATTTTTTCCAAATGTAAGCCATCTCAAACCTCTTTCAAATTTAAAATACAGCCCACATATACAGGTACACCTGACTTACAACAATTCATTCAGTTATCATTCAAAGTTACAACAGCACTGATAAAAGTGACTTATGACAATTTTTCAGTTATGACCTTTGTAAACCTCAATTGACTCATGATTGTTGCTGTATCTCAAGGACATGTGATCACCTTTTGCAAGGAAGCCAGATTCACTTAACAACCAGGTTACAAACTTACCAATTACAGTGATTCTCTTAACAACTATGGCAAGAAAGGTTGCAAAATGAGGTAAAACTCACTGTCTCACTTAACATAAATTTGGCCTCAATTGTGGTCCTAAGTCGAGGACTACCTGTACCCCATCCAACTGTTAAATCCAAGCATGGAAATTTTAAAAGAGAATTTCTGTACAAAATTACCCAAACTTAAGCATCAAACTTAGTCATCACCTACAATTCAGTTTGAAACTATAGTATTCTCTTGTTCAAACAATTTTTAGTATTAATATTTGCTATTTTAATAAAATCCAGTATATATAATTTATAGAATTTAAGTCATAGGTTTTTTCTGTCAGGACTAATCTATTTGGTTTAGATCTTGAATAAGCAGTAACCTCCTTCTTTGGAGAGCATCTTGTGAGTAATGTTTTTACAGGTATCTCCTGCTAATGAAGATGATTTCTATAGATTCTCCTCCTCTGTAAATTTTTAAAGAAATTTTTGACTGAAAAATTCTCCAAAGGAGCACAGAAAAGCTGAAGAAAAAGGACACAATATAGGTAGCCCTCAACTTATGCCTAATTGTCTAGTGAGCATTTGAAGTTCCAAAGGGTCTACTTGGAAGTACCTATGACCTGGATTCAAAGTTCCAACAGTCCCCGCACCCCATGGTCATGTGACCACACTTTAAGCTCTTGGTAACAGAGTTGCATGTACGTTTGCAGTATCCTGCAGTCATGTGACCCCCATAGCAAACCATAGGTCTGCTTTATGAGTGTGGCATTTGCTTTACGGCCTGATGTTCACTGCTGCAAAAAGTGTCATAAAATCAGATTGGTTACATGACCAAACCATTTTATGACTGTCACAAGTTACAACCATGATGGGCGTGCTCCATAATGGTTATAACTCAAGGATACCCTGTGAGAATAATCTCCCTCACTTCCATTTGGAGAATCCAGGGGCAACAGAAAAAACTGATGAGGCCAAAATGGAAATATATGCTGTGACATTATCACCCAACTGCAATTACATACTTGTGATCTGATGCTGACATAAATAGGTAAATCACAATTTTTACATGATACTGTTGTCACATCATGGCAGGGTCCTTCATTTGATCACAATCTATTCATAGATAAGAACTCAGAATATTGTACAAGATAATTTTGGAGAAATTAAAGACAAAGCAGCTGATTAAGATATATACTTTTGAATTATTAATATTTAATAATATTAATATTCAATAATATATTTTAATAGGATGATTTTACCTTATTGCAATTATATCTTATAAAACAAAGTATGGTAGGTGAGGCTTGGAAAATTAAAACTAGGGACAAACCATAGATATATTCTACTATAAAATATTCTTCATGAGCATAATCTCAAAAATTTGCATGTCTTTTTATATATCCAAAGCTTTTAAAAGAAATACAGTAAGTTCTACTAGGTAACATAATAAATTCCATATCAGTAAAGACATACTGAATATTAATATTAAAGGTGTAATAGAAAAGAAGGAAACTCCTTGTAGAAGTATTTCTCTTAGTAAAACCAGTACCATCTGCTTTTAAAATTGTATTTGACCATGAATCTTTGATCCAAAAGCACAGCTGGAGCAAGGACTGTAAGAAAAACATTTGACTGTCGAAAATAGAAGAAAAAAATAATTTTACCCTGCGCATAGACTGATAGCGTGGTGCATGTAACTGTACAATGTCCTTTTGAAGAAGCTCAATGGAACTTTCCAAGGAATAACTGGAATCTCGCACACCTTTCAGGATATTTTCTTCATAATTATTGGTCATAACTGGTATCACTTCAGACACTTCAAAGAGTGCTGACTTTTTTCTCTAAAGAAAAGAAAATTAAGAAACATTTGTTACTAAGAAATAAATGTTGAAGTTCAAATATAAAATTTAGGAAAGTTAATTATCAGGAAGTTCAAACCTTACTTTTAAAAGGATGTGTGCAAAGCAAAAATTCATCTCTTAATTCAATGAAAGATACTAATATTAAAATCAGAGTCTTTAAGTGGATTTTGGCTGAAAGGCACAATTTGCTGGGGTAGGGGGTTAAATTCAGTTTTGGGTGCCTATATTCCTCTCATGTACCATACATACAAACCCCATACAATATAAAATATTTAGAATTATCCTTCCACACTTGAACATCTGTAATTTTTACTAACAAACACAATGGAACTTTACAATAGTACCATTAAGTTATGGTACTTAGTGGTTATGTGCATTAAGAAATGTATTCAATAAACAGTCTATTTTTTATGCCAAGAAAAGCTTATGCCTTTAATATATATTCTCCATTTTTTTTATTCTAAAAAACCTTCGAGATCATTAATTATGTATTTTATATGCTGAAATAATAAACAGAAATAAGATTACCTTGTCTTTGAATACAAAGGCAATATACATCTTGAAATCAAACTGGTCAGCTAGAGATTCTTTTTTCTTTTTAAGCTGAGCCCGAAGTCTGTTCAGAGCTTGTTTCTTCCGGGAGTTTGGGTCCCCCATTTTATAATACAGATGGTACAAAAGCCTTTGGAAACTGTCACTAAACTGTGGGCCCTTTTTTCATAAGACTCAAGTGCAACAGAAACAAGTCATTTTATTCCTGCTTATACCACTGAATCAATAAAACAGAGGCAAACCCCAAAAGTGCACCTCAGGCAATTGTTTTACAAGACTGTCTTACTAGAGGGGTCATAAAACAAAGTAAGTAGTTGTCCAACCATTACTGGACAAAGGGTTTGCACATATTACCAAAAAGATTTTTTTTTTTTTGAAGAAAATACACTGATATACAGTTTAAACCACAGGAATAAAGGGGCAAGAACAGGAGAAAAATCTTATCACAATTTATATGCATAAAAAAAAGGAATAAAGGGGATGGACCCAATCCATTTGGGTGTTGTTTCTTTGCCCCAAGCTCCCCCCAAAAAACCCAAACAAAAAACCTGAAATTAAAGACAGTACTCTATCACACCCAGGTTCATGACTCTGCCGATTATTATTACCAAGATTGCTGCTATTGCTATACTGCCTGCTTAATTTTCACTGATGATTAGACTTGGGAAAAAGCAAAGGAAGGAGTGCAGAAGAGGAGTGGATGTCCCGGGAGGCAAGACGTTTCCCTACTAACAAAATCATCAACAGCAGACAACACAGTGCTGGTTTGCCGAAGAGCAAGAAGTTTGGAAAACAGCAGAGTCATTTCTAACTTCATCACGCTCACAATCAGGCACCCGGCCGTCGCCCCGAGGCCGCCTGTGTTAGAGAAAACGGGGATCATGGTGGCCATCAATCAAAGCTTAAAAGGGAAGCCAAAAAGGGAGTAGCCGGCCTAAAGATCTCCAGGCTATCTAGCAGTCCCCTCGGCAGGGGAAGAGACCTACATACTCCAATTGCTGTCTATCCCCCATCAACTATCCTCCTTTCTCCGCCACCGCCGCCGCCGCAACGGCCACTTGTTTAGTTGGGGCTGGGCATGGCTGGTGCGATGTCGCCTCCTCGGCGTTGTTTCCTCCCTCTCTCTCCCTTTAACCGACCTGAGGAGGAGGAAGAGAAGGGCCTGTGCTCAGCGCAAGGGGGAGGGAAGGGGACTCAACCCACAGTCCCGGGGACTTTTTCTCGCATTCAGTTGGCTCCAATTTTCCTCCTTTTGGAAAAGGGGAAAGCACGGAGGAGGGAGGCCAGAAGTTCTCAATTGCAAAAGGGGGAGAGAGAGAGAGAGAAAAAAATTAAGAGAAGCCAAAATAGCCGTTGGGGCTTTTGAGTCGAATCAAATCATTTAAAAAAGGGGGGGATGGGGGGGGGGGGGAGACTCCCCCGCCCGTCCCTTTCGGAATTGGTTCGGACAGGAGTTCGACTTTTTTTAAAATAAATAAATAAAATAAGCCAAATCTCCTCCACCTCTTTCAACTTTCCCTCATAGAAACGAAAAAAAAAAGTTTAATTTCTCTCCTTTTAAAAAAAAAATTCTGTCACCTCGGCGGGAGGCGCAGGCGGCGAGAGAGCGCGGAGCGGAGAGGGCGGCCTGGCCTGGGCTCGCTATCCGCAGCCGGCGGGCGCGGGCGGAGCAGTGGAGGCTGTGGTGGTGGCGGCGGCGCTGCTAGCAGCACGGGTAGGAGCCATGTCAAGATAAAGCCACCAAGAAGCCGC